TTTAATCCCAGCACTTGGGAGCCAGAGCCAGGTGGATCTCTGTGAGTCCCAGGAAAGGGACTCATTCTAATTATTGGTCATGGAAATAAAGCTGGAGGTATCAAAGAAATACTATTTCCCAAACTAATTGCATTTATTATTATTATTATTATTTGTTTTTGTTTTGTTTTTTTGTTTTTCGAGACAGGGTTTCTCTGTGTAGTTTTGGTAGCTGTCCTGGATCTCGCTCTGTAGACCAGGCTGGCCTTGAACTCACAGAGATCCACCTGGCTCTGCCTCCCGAGTGCTGGGATTAAAGGCATGCACTACCACCAGCTGGCTCATTTTTGTTTTAAAGACAGGGTATCAATATGTAGTGCTGGCTGACCTGGAACTTACACTGTGTAGACCATGCCTCCAGCCATTACACTTTCTTCCTTTTTCTTCCTAAAGGTGAGGCTTCCATACTAGCCACCTTCTCTGTAACAGAAGGAAAGAGAAAAGTTCCTGTGGCTGGCTGCAGAGTCCAAAAGGGACAGTTAGAAAAACAGAAGAAGTTTAAATTAATCCGAAATGGACAAGTTATTTGGAAGGGTAAGCAGTATTAAAATCTATTTCTAAATCAGTTACTGAATCCTGACTGTGCAGCATCCAAAATCTATGCATTTTTCACTTGCCTAGCTTTAGCTTGTGCCATTTCTAACACATAGGCTCCTTCCCCATTCGTCTTGGTTTTGTTAAAAAAAACCACCTAACTTCTTTCTGCTTTCTGTTCTCTACACTCAGTTCAACCCCTGTATTGTCCTTTTGTCCCAAGGTCCCACACAATGCACACTAGGAACTGAGTAGTCTTCAGATTTGCCTGCCATCTTTAGTGGACTTTTTTTTTTTTAAAAATACAACCTCAAGTGCCATTTTAGACCACTTTTTTTTCAACATTTTGTTTGAAAAAAAATTTTTTTTAAGATTTATTATATATAGTGTTCTGCCTGCATGTATCCCTGCAGGCCAGAAGAGGGCGCCAGATCTCATTACAGATGGTTGTGAGCCACCATGTGGTTGCTAGGAGTTGAACTCAGGACCTCTGGAGGAACAGTCAGTGCTCTTAACCTCTGAGCCACAAAAAAGTACCCAAGAGATCCGCCTGGCTCTGCTTCCCGAGTGCTGGGATTAAAGGCGTGCGCCACCACCACCCGGCTTAGACCCCTTTTAAAATGGGAGATTTCAGATCTATCAGTTTAACCTTTTAATGTTTTTTGGACTTCCCTGGCATTTACTCTTACCTAACGTGTATGTTGGTTAGTGGGGCACAGGCAAACAGTTCAGCAGGTCAAGGCACTTGCCACATAAGCCTGACGTCTAGTGTAATATCCAGAACCCACATGAAGGTAGAGAAGCAAGTTACACCAAACTATTTACCATTTAGTAGATATTTGTTGAATATACTAACTGGCTTTTTTTTTTTTTTCTTTTAAGGCTCATTAACCTCATTGAAACACCATAAAGATGACGTTTCAGTCATCAAAACTGGAATGGACTGTGGTCTTAGTTTAGATGAAGAAAAAGTAGAATTTAAAGTAGGAGATGAAGTTGTTTGTTATGAGGAAAATGAAGTTCCAGCTAAGATTTCTTGGGATCCAGGATTTTAAAAGTACAATAAAAATGATGTATTTTCCTTTATTTAAAGACAGTGTCTTGATACTTAACACAGGCTGGTAGCAACCTCCTATCTCAGCCTCCCAAGTGCTGTAATTTTAAGCATGCACTACCATGCCTAGCTTCTTTCTTATACAGCAAGTTTCTTTGCCTTATTGGAGATAAAAATTCATCATAGAACCAGGCAAGGTATCACATGCCTTTAACCCCAGCACTCAAGAGGCAGAGGCAAGCAGACCTCTTGAATTCAAGGCCAGCCAGGGCTACAAAGAGACCCTATCTCAAAACAAAAAAACAAAAATAAGATCACCAATGAACACCACACAAAATAAAACATTATCTCCTAAGTTCATGCATACACCAATAGAAAGTATACTTCCTTATACTCTGGATAGCACCCTCCTTTTTTTTAAGGATTTATTTAAGTAACACGAGTGTTCTTGCACATATGCATGCATGACAGATGAGGGCACTGGATCCCACTACAGATGGTTGTGAGCAGAAGAGCAGCCTCTTTACCTCTGAACCATCTCTCCAGCCCAAGAGGTGAATTCATCTTTTGTGTTACATACATACTGTCAAGTCAAAGTGAAGCCAAAGGGATAGGTGGCTTTGCTAGTTCCATAAACAGACACTAACTAATTATCCTCTAAGGCACAGGATATCCCCCAACCCCTTACAGAATTGTGAAGTAAGTGCCTACAGTGCCAGTCAGGAAAACTAGCATAAACTGACTTAGATGGCTGACATTACAGTGTAACTTCCCTTGCCAATGCAAGCCAAGCCTTTGCCATGCAACTGGCACCTCTCAGGCAGAAACCAAAGGGACTAGTCACATAAGCCAAGAAACATTCTTTAAATATACAATAAAACGCAACAGCAAACTTCAGTTCCTGTCTTTTATTTATCCATGCACGACTACTTGTCTTCGGGTTTGTTGAAGCAGTACGTCAGACAGCACTTGCCACAGTAGTGTCTGTCGAAGTGGCTGGCCATGAAAACCCCAGCACCACACTCATCAGAAGGGCACTCGCGACGAAGACGGCTAATTTTGCCATTTTCATCCACCTGAAAAACAAAAACTTACTCTAAGACAATTTCACAAAACACATGCTAAAGTCTGATTTAAGTTACTCAAGCCATTAACCTCTGGACCTCACAGTACTAATAATTTCTAGTGCTTTTTAGGGTTTGGAGTGATGGCTCAGTGGTTAAGAGCATACTGTTCTTGCTGAGTACCTACATTCAATCCCCTGCCCGCTCCCGTATCTGGCAGCTCACTACTGCCTGTAACTCCAGCTCCAAGGGATCTGACATCCCTATGTTCTTTACTCATATGCAAACATATACATGTATACATAAATAAAAACATTTTATGAAATTCTAGTGCTTTAAGTCAGCATTTCTGCAAGTCAACTGCTCAGAACTTGTTCCAAATATACCACTGGTTTTGTTGACACCACACTTAAGCAGCTCACCTTATAGTACTTTAGTACAGCCAACTTAACCTTCTTCCTCTTATGCTTATTCTTCTTGGGAGTGGTGTAAGACTTCTTCTTCCTTTTCTTAGCACCACCACGAAGTCTCAACACAAGATGAAGGGTGGACTCCTGTTAGTGGAAAGATGAGAGAGGCATCAACAACTGTCAAAGCTAGGTGTGGTTGTGCCTGCAGCAGCAACCACCCTGCCGGCCCACCGCAAAGCACTTGGGAGGGGGGGAAGCTCAGGAATCCAGTTTAAGCGCCCTGAGACTACAGGAGATCCTTCTCCACAAACCAAAAAGGATAAATCATCACACATTTTAAAATTTAAAATCAGTAAACATCTGCAGTGCTTCTCAAATGTTAGTGGATTCATAGTGTAATCTAACACTATGGTTCCTATTTCTGGGGAGTTTTCCCTCAAACAAACCTTTTGAATATTGTAGTCAGACAAAGTACGACCATCTTCCAGCTGCTTACCAGCGAAGATCAGCCTCTGCTGATCAGGAGGAATTCCTAATTGCAAGAAAAAAAATACTGGGTTTAATCGAACTAGGTGCATGCCAAGCTATAGAAAACCCTCCATCAAACAACTGCTGGCACTGGTCACTAATTTACTGGATACTAAGCATTTTAACGTTTGGATATGCTTGAACATTGAATACATGTTAATAGTCTTCGTAATCCAGTAAACAGGTTAAAAAATTAACTTCTTAAAGTTCACACGTGGAGAAAAGAACAGTCTTGCAGATTTTCCAAGCACTTGTTAATCTGTTTTCTACCCCACTGAGAGCAAATATACCTAGGTCACACAAGCCAGTTGTTTTTCTAGCGACCGAACATTACTTGCCTTCCTTATCCTGGATCTTGGCCTTGACATTTTCTATCGTGTCCGAGGGTTCAACCTACGAGTTTTGATACACAGTTAACACAGTTACACGGCAGGAAAGGCTAGAACTCCCATCCTGTGAAATGTTCGCTTTGCACAAACGCGCGGGGAGAGGGTGAGCCGACACGACCACCTCCCGGCAGCTGTGCAAGCCAAGCCCGTCCCCGGCCGGGGCGGGCGACGGCCGCTGGGCCACGCGCT